AAGCACTGACACCTGCTATAACATGGATGAACCCTGAAAACACGATGCTGAGAGAAGCCAGACACAAAAGGCCACATATTGTGTGACCCAGTTTACATGAAATGTTAACATTATGCAAATCGATAGAAAGTAGGTTAGTGGTTGCCTGGAGCTGGGTGGAGGTTAAGGGAAATGGGGAGGGAGTTCCCTGGTGGGGTGATGAAAATGTTCTAAACTTGATTATGATAATGGTTGCACAACTCTGAGGCTATACTAAAAACCATTTACTTTAAATGGGTGAATTCAATGATGTGTCAATTATATATCAATAAAGCTGTTAAACATATTACATGGAACAAAGAGAAAGCCATGGCAGGTTTCTTGTTGGAAAAATGCCCGAGGATACGGTGGACAACACTTTAAAGTACTAAACGTAAAAAGTATCCACCTAGAATTCTGTAAATAGACTCCCCACACACACTTATATGGTCAGTTGATTTTTCACTATGGCGCAAAGGCAGTTCAGTGGAGAAAGGAGAGTGTTTCCAACAAATGGTACAGGAACAACTGGACATCCATATGCAAATAAACAACCTGGGACCATACGTCACACCACATACACAACTCAAAATGGATCATACACCTAAATGCAAGATCTGAAACTATGAAACTTTTTGGAGAAAACCTAGAACATTTTTGTGACCTCTGGTTAGGCAAAGATTTCTAACATACAACGCCAAAAGAATGGTCCATGAAAGAAAACAAGAAAAACAGAGAGATTGTTAACTTGTACTCTTCAAGAAAATGAAATAAATGTTAAGAAAATGAAAAGAGGAATCACAAACGAGGAGAAAATATTTGCAAATCACATATCTGATACAGGACCTATATGCAGAATATGTAACAAACTCTCAACAATAAGAAAACAGCTAACCCAATTAAGAAAACAGGAAAAGATTTGATCCATCATTTCACAGAAGAAGATATATGGATGGCAAAAAGCACACAAAAAGATACTCAATGTCACGAGTCATGAAGGAAAGTCAAGTTAAAAGCACAGTGAGGTGAGGTGCCACTATACGAGTATATATTAGGATGGCTCAAGTCAAAAAGACCAGCCACACCTCGTGAGGAAGAGGATGTGGAGCAAGGGGGACTCGCACACTCGTGGTGGGAGAGAAAAACAGTGACCATGTTGAGAAACAGCTTGTCAGTCCCATTAAAAGTGAAGCGGACCCCTATCATACGATCCAGCCACTCCACCCTGAGTATTTACCCAGGAGGAATGAATGCACTCGTCCACACACAGACTCAAACACAAATGTCCACAGCAGCTTTATATAGAATAGCCCCAGACTAAATGTAACCCAAACGACCGTCAGCAGGTGAAAGGGTAAACCAGCCGTGGTGTATCTGACAATGGAACACTCCATGTTAATTAAAAACCAAAAAGAACTATTGGTATACACAATAGCGTGGATGAATCTCAACCTGATTGTGCTGAGTGACAGAAACCAGACACACTGTACTCTTGTGCTGTCCAAATGGGTGCATACTGCGTGATCCCATTTATATAATGTTCTAGACAATGCCGCCGGACTATAGTGACAGAGAGCAGATTAACGGTTACCACCTTGGGGCAGGGCAGGGGAAGGCATTTCCAAGGGCAGGAACCCTTAGGGGTGATGGCTTCCCGGGGGCACACATGCCAAACTTCGGAAATTTTGCACGTTACATATGTGCAGTGTATTGTATGTACATTATATCTCATTAAAACTATTTTACAAATTAAAAGTAAAAAGCCCACCATCTGTGGAAAGCATTTAAGACAGCGGGCATGTAATAGCTGCGAGTTGAAAGTTGAAAGCTGGCTCTTATTTTTGAGTGCTTACTGTCTCAAGGTCAAGGGTTCAGAAGCGACTACAGGCTTCAGGAAGGGGACGCTGGCACCTCAAGCAGCGTCATCCCCCCAGGCCGGGGCAGGAGCTGCAGGGTCGGGCTCCGTTGGCTTCCAATGGGGTCCTAGTGCCCTCTGGTGGCTCCCAGAGGTACCGCAGGCTGCGGTCCGGTTTACCCCTCCTTTTGAGCTCTGGCCTCCGCGGCCCACTTCGCCGGTCGTGCGTCTCCCTGCCGTTGCGAACCACCCACCCAATTGCTCCCTCTGGTCCAGGTGCTGGCCTCTGCCGAGACTTAGCTACCCCCTGCCGTGGAGCTGGGCTGTGTGCGGTAGGACCTGGTTTCCCCACCCTACGGCAGACGTCCCCCAGCACCCCACTACTCTCCAGGTCCAAGATTGGCTGGAGAGGGTGGGGGGGAGGGACAGGGAAGCCTCAGGTTAGCTCTAGCGACAGCTGGTCCTCAAAAGGCCCTCTCAGTTCTCCCGTGGATTCACATAAGACCCTTCTGTCCCCCACTCCCGGCAGCCTCGGCCAGCCTCCCTGCCCCCCTCTGACCCACTCCCTTCTCCCAGGGCCGCCAGGGCCATTGCTGCAAAGCCTCCAAACCTCCTTGTCTGGTGGCAGTCCATGTCTGCAGACAGATCCACACGTGGGCGCCACCCAAGCCAGCTGTCCACATGGAAACAAAAACATGTGACACCCCCACCACCCACCACCCACCACCCACCGAAATCAAGACCAGATGGGTCACAGGTCCAATGTGGAAGGTAAAACAATGAAGCATCATGGACTCCTCATGACTTTGGGGCACGCAAGTTCTTCAGGACAGAGAAAGTGACAACCAACCAGCGAGGAAATTATTGACAACTTGAACCGTTAGTTAAAATGTAAAACTTCTGTTCATCAAAACAGAAAGAGAAAAGGCGAGATAGAGAGAGGAGATACTCAAAGTCCAAACATCCCACACGGATTCCTCCCTAGAGTGTATGGCAGGCTCCCCCAAGTCAGTGAGAAAAGCAGCAGAGCCCTGAGGAGACACACGTCTTCCCAGCAGAAGCCACACCATGGCCAGGACTCACTGTTACCAAGGAAATGAGAATTAGAAGCTCGGTGCGCTAGCACCACGGAGCCCAAAGGACACCACGTGACAGAGGCCACCACAGCGGCAGGACCAGGGGCACAGACACAGCCCGGGTGTCCGGCCGCTGGAGCAAAGGCACAAGCACACGGGACGACGGGATCTTCTAGAACTAACCCAGCCACACCCCAAACCACGTACGTAAGTCTCCCCGAAGGGTTGTTCCAGGTGTTCCAGCATCACTGCTTGTAACAGCTGCAAACTGAACACAAACGGCCCAAATCCCCATCCACAGGAAAACGAGGCCCGGGAGCAGACAGTGAGACAACAGGAGGGGGTGCGGCCTCTGCCTGGGTCCTGGACCAGGGCCCCCAAAACCCTTGTGAACTCCTAAGTGACACGAGCACGAGGAGCATCTCTGGTTCTGATGAGGGGACTCCGGGTGGCTCCTGGGTGAGGGCTGGTCACCAGGAGGACAAAGCCCTGACTGAAGGAGGAGTTTTCATCCTCCTGAGAAGGGAGAAGGACTGGAAAGGGAGTTAAGGATAGATCCCCTACATGAGGAGGCCTCCATGAAACCCCAACAGTGTGGGGCGCTCAGAGCTTCGGGCTGGCGAACGTGGGGCGGGGCAACGGCGTGGAAGCCTCACGGCTCTGTCTCTCTCGTCTGGACGGTCATCTGTGCTCTTTAGCACATCTCTTTACAGCAAACTGGGGCATGTCGGTGTCTCCCTGGGTCCTGTGAGCCGTTCCAGCAAATTAATGCTTCTGGGCTCCCTCCTCAGAGAGGTCTCTGCCACCCGGCCACCCCTTCCCTCCACTCTGCTCCTTCTTACGATGTGTTGCTGTGGAAACGGTATTATTTACCTGTCCATTTAGATGTTTGCTGTCTGACCCCACTACTCCCTCTTTGTGTCCCCAGCAGGGAGGCTGGGGGTGTATGTGTCACATAGACCTGCCCGGGGATGGGCAGCACAGCCCCAAAGTCAGGTCAGGATGGCCTGGAACACTGCTAAGAGCAGGGACTTTGGGACCCAGCCCTGCCACTCACTAGCTGGTTGTCGGTGCACAATTCACTTACCCTCTCGGGGTCTCACCAAGCTTAACTGTGAAAGAAGGGTCCTCCTGGGGCCCCCTCTTGGGGTGGATGGGTTTTTGGAAAAGTGCTCTGGGGGGCCTTCGAGGGGCTGCTGTTCTCCAGCCCACGCCAGAGGCCATGTCACCCCTGCCCATCTCCTCTCGGCGACTGGTTCGCCTGGGGGTGGCAGCACCAGACCCCCTTTCCTAGAGTGAAAGCCTGCACTGCCACCCCCATTGTGGGTCCTGTCCACAGGAGCCTAGGTGAGGGGATGCTGGTGGGGACTGACCCACTTTCCTCCTCTGACCCTCCCAGCCCTCTCCAGAGTCCCAGGGCCCATGCCCACTTGGGGTGCCCTCCACTGAGAGCCTTCAATGTCCCCATGTGTCCCCAAGGCCCCATCAGCAGGGTGGGCAGTGCTGCCAGGGAGGGGACAGAGAGCCCCTTGAAGCCAGACCAGGGAGATCTAAGCCCTGCTCCTGGGTCTGTGAGGCCCACCTCCAAAGACCTCTAGGAATATTCTAGAATCGGTCATTTCCTAGCTCATCACTCTAACCCCCTCTGTTCCACAGGCATCAGGGTAAGACCCTAAGACCAGAGGGCTGAACTGGTTTTAGGGGGCTGCTAGGAGGCGCGGGCATGGGAGAGGTGGGGGTCTGGGCTTCCACAGCAGTGGGGCCGCTTTTAACTGAAAGGACAGCTGCAGCCAGGAGACAAGGGCAGGCCCACCTTCAGCCTGGAGAAGGAGCCCCGTGCTGCCGGCTGCTGGTCAGCATTCTCTGGCCGGCATCGGGCCTGACCAGGAAGGCGTCCCTCACGTAGCTGGAGGTCCCTCAAATGCCATCTATTTGCGGCCTGGACCCTGATGACTGGCAGGAGACATGTGACGCTGGGACGGGTATTTTTGGCAGTGGGGGTGGGGCCTGCACGATAAGCCCAGCACCATGCCGCTCTGGGACAGGCAGCTCGGACGTCCAGCTCCACTGCCCCGGCTGGCAGCAGGGTCCCAGGTATGACGTGATCAGCCCCTCATTCCCGTCCTAAGGGGTCCCCACAGGGGACAGCCCCCACAGGGACATTCCCCAGAGCCACACAGGAGGGCGAAGTTCAGAGGGTCAGGAAGCCACGGTGCCCTGGTCTCAAGGCATCTCTGATTCAGGACTGGCCTGACCAGAGTGACCTCCCACCCCCCTGGGTCTGGTGGTATGTGACCGAAGACCAAAGGGCAGCCCCCCCCTCACCTCACCCCACCCAAGGGGCTGAGAGGTAAGAGGCTCAATGGGCTCACCGACACGGGGCAGAGGAAGGGCCTTTGCTAGCTGGGCAGGCCTGGGTCAGGGGCACGGACCTGACGGCCTGAGGGTGCCCCTGGGAGTCAGGGGCCTCCCTTCTTTCTGTGACCTCCTGCCCAGGCAGGGGCACAGCCAGGCTCTCCCTGATGACCCGCGTGCACTCTGACCAGCACCAGTGTGACCTTGGTGAGCTCAGAGGAAGCCCGGCAGACTGTCCCAGCCAAGGCTAGAGGAAGGTCATTGCCAAAGGCTGGTCACCTGCTGGATGCTGTGGCCCCTCCCCCATGGCCAGCTGCCACTGAGGGCATGGTGGGACAGGTGCGGCTGACCACCGCCAGGGGAACTGCCCCCGGAGGTGGTCCTTGACAGGGGCTTGGCCACTCTGGAGGAAAGTTGGAGGGTGAGGCTGGCCCAGCTGAACAGAAAATACTCGGAGATGTGAAGGAAAGTTGCTTCTGGGGATGGAAATTCAAACATGAGGACCCTATTTCTTAGAGCACTTCTCTAATCTAGAGCCGTCTTTTGTGGGAAGAATGTGACAATATGTCATAAAGTCACCATTTGGGGTCAGTCTGGAGACGAGGACATGGGGCTGTGGATATTCTGACTTGGAGGACGCCTCTCAGCCCCCTGCTCTACTTTCTTTCAGGATGGAGCTGCTGTGCCAGGTCCGAGCCAGGGAGGAGGGGGTGCCCGGGGGGCAGGCGGGCGGTGGCAGTGCCTGAAGACCCCGAGCTCTGCTGCTCACGTGCCTCTGCTGACCCTAAATGGAAAACTTCCAGTACAGCGTCCATCTGAGTGACCAGGACTGGGCTGAGTTCTCGGCCGCTGCCGAGGAGTGTGGCCTCCTGCAGGCTGGCCTGGCCTCTGGGGATGAGCTCTTGTCCAGTGACATTGACCAAGGGGACAGCAGTGGCAGCAGTCCTCCTGAGCCCCTGCCCCTTTTTGGGGGGCATCTGGCTCCCAGAGGGCGTGGCTGGCCTGGCTTCGAGGAGGAGGAGGACAAGGCGGCCACACAGCAGCTGGTCAGCAGGTCTTGGCAGGAGCCCGTCCTGGCCCTGGGGGCAGGTCAGCAGATGCCCAGCACGTCCGCACCGTCAGAAGCTCAGCCATCCCTCAGCCCTGGAGCCACCCCTCCCGGCCAGAGCCCATCCCTGCGAGGGCCAGAGACTTCCAGAGACAAGATGCAGAGGCTTCTACAGGGGCCAGCCCCACGGGACTCGGCCCCCAGTGTGCCTGGCGAGCCTCCTCGGAGCCCCGAGTCCCCTGGCCGTAGCACTGCCCCCCAGAAGCCGCCTGGCAGCCCTGGAGCCCCACCACGTAGCCCCAGCCGGAAGAAGAGGCGGACCGCAGGTGCCAAGGGGGGTGGGCGCCCGGGAGCCGCCAGCTCAGCTCCCACCCAGCCGGGCTCTCCACGGCTCACTGAGGCCAGGCCTGAGGAGGGCCTTGGCCCAGCTGGGTCCAGAGGAAAGGGTCTCTCGGCTGGGACAGCAGAGCAGATAGCAGGAGCCAGGCAGGACGAACTGGGGCCGGAGTCTGCAGGAACCCATGAGCAGGTGGCCGGGCAACGGCCTGGCTTGGATCTGTCTACAACTGAGCAAGGTACAGATCTACTCAAAATGACCCCTAGAGCTGAGCTACACACTGTGTCCAGACCTGCCCAGGAGGCTGGTCCAGATGTCTCAATGGCTAAGTCAGACACGGCTCTGTCTACACCTGCCTGCCAGCCTCAGGCTGACTCGGCTCTGTCTACACCTGCCCGCAAGCCCCAGGCTGACACGGCTCTGTCTACACCTGCCCGCAAGCCCCAGGCTGACACGGCTCTGTCTACACCTGCCCGCAAGCCTCAGGCTGACACGGCTCTGTCTACACCTGCCCGCAAGCCCCAGGCTGACACGGCTCTGTCTACACCTGCCCGCAAGCCCCAGGCTGACATGGCTCTGTCTACACCTGCCCTCAAGCCTCAGGATGACACGGCTCTGTCTACACCTGCCCACAAGCCTATACTGGATGTGGACCTGCCTGTGCTGGGCCCAGTGGTCAAGCCAGAGGTGGATTCATGTATACCTGTTTCAAAGGCCCAGTGTGAGGTGGGCGCATCCACACTTGCCCTCAGTCTCCAGACTGAGGCTGACATGGCAGAGGCAGAGGTTGCCCCATCGGCAAAGCTGGATTTGAGCTCTGCCACGTCTTCAGGGGCCCAGCAAGAGAAGCCCAGAGGGGAGCCGTCAGCAGGTGCCCCTGGAAACCACTCGGGGGAGCCCCCCACAGGCTCCGTCCAAGCTCCCAAGAAGAAGAAAGTGCGATTCTCCGTGGCTATGCCCAGCCCCGAGGAGCCAGGGCCAGAGGAGGCCTCGGGCCCACTCTCACCAGCCACAGCCTGGCCCTCAGCCCCCAGGACAGCAGCTGGGGGCCGCGGGGGGCCTGGAGCTTGGGACGCAGTGGCAGTCGGGCCCCGGCTCCCCCAGCCTCGGATCCTCAAGCACCTGCCTCCCCCGCCATCCGTTGCCTCTGGGGGGCCTGGGTACAGGAGCTGCTTTGCAGTGACCCTCCCAGAAGCCTACGAGTTCTTTTTCTGTGACACTATCGCAGAAGAGGATGAAGAGGCTGAGGAGGCGGCAGAGGACAGCCAGGTCCCCGCCGAAGTCCAGTGGCCGGATGTATGCGAGTTTTTCTTCCGGGACTGCCGAGCCCAGATGTCTGGGCCCCGGACAGGCCGCTCCCCACCCCCACCCCCACCCCCGAAGGCCGAGCCCGTACTATCCCCTGTGCCTGGAGACCCCATGCCTATCTCCATCCCCGAGGCCTATGAACACTTCCTTGGGGAGGACAGGCTGGGAGACTTGCTGGGGCCGGCTGCCCTACGCCAGCTGCAGGCCACAGAGCTCCCTAGGTTGGCCCCCCAGGGAGTAGAGCCTGGCACCCCCCCAGAGACCAGCCAAGCCACAGCACAGCAGCTCGACCTGGTGGTCAGGCAAGCAGGTGCGTGTCACGTGGGCCCTGGGAATGGCCTGTCCAGGTCCTGGGAACACACTGTCCAGGGATCTCAGCCAGGAGGGCTACGGGGGAGGGCCAGGCCAGGACCCTGGGTCATGAGCCAGTGTGGGGGGGGCCTCAGGGATGATCTGGAGAGGAAGAAGCAGTTCCTGGCCATCCCAGGACACAGTCCAGGTGGGGAAGCTCAGGCCAGGTCATCGGGGTTTGGCTGTGCATTGACCCTCCCCCGTGTGCAGGCCCAGATGGCACTAGTGCCCCAGACTCTAGCAGGGCAGGCCTTGGGGCTCTTTGGAAGATCCCTTAGAAACCAGGAAATGGGGCCAAGCCGACCTGACTCAACTCTGCCGCACACTGCCCTGTGTCTTGGGACAGAGCTGTCAAAGGGAAGATGTGACTCAGAAAGTGTGTCCCAGGTCAGACGTGTCCCCAGATAGACGTGTCCCCAGACAGATGTGTCCAAGGCAGACATGTCCAGTATAGATATTTCTCTACACAGATGTGTCTTGCATTAGATGTGTCCCCAGACAGACATGTCTCCAAACAGATGTGTCCCAGGACAAACATGTCCAATATAAATGTGTCTCCAGACAGATGTGTTACAAGTCAGACATGTCCTGGGTCAGACATGTCCCCAGACATGTCCCCAGACAGATGTGTTACAGGTCAGTCATGTCCCAGGTCAGGCATGTCCCCAGGACAGATATGTCCCTGGACAGATGTGTCCAGGTCAGACGTGTCCAATATGGATATGTCTCCAGACAGACGTGTCTCCAGACACATGTGTCCAGGATAGACGTGTCTGGATTAGACAGGTCCCAGGACAAATGTGTCCTCAGTCAGAAATGTCCCTGGACAGACTTGCCTCGGGTCAGACATGTCCCAGGTCAGCCGTGTCCCCACAGCCATGTCTGAGTGGAGCAGCTGGCGCTCAGAGTATTGCCTCTCTTTCCTAGGGGAGCCCCGGGGTCCCCTCACCGCCTTTACCTTCAGCCAGAATGACATGTGCCTGGTGTTTGTAGCCTTCGCCACCTGGGCTGTGAGAACATCAGACCTGCATACCCCAGACGCCTGGAAAACAGGTTTGGGGGCCCTGGGGGATGGGGACTGGTGCCCAGAAGTCGAACGAAAGGACAGTGGTGTCGTGTCTTTCACCTGCTGGGCCAGCAGGGCTGAGGGGTGCTTGGGGGGCACAGCTTTCTTCCCTGACCTTGCTCTTCCCGTGGCTGACCCACCACTCGCCCCACTGGCCGCCTCCCGCCCTTTGAGCGCTGTGCCAGCAGATAGGAGGTGGTGACGAGGCCGGGGAGCTGGCACTCAGGAGGCCCAATGCTTCTCTTTCAGTCTTGCTGGCCAACATTGGCACCATCTCTGCCATCCGCTACTTCCGCCGGCAGGTGAGGCGGGGGCGCCCCAGCCCCAGCCCCAGCTCCTAGGACCCAGGCTTGGCCCAGGAAGACGCCAGATGAGGAAACGGCCACGGTGCTCAGGATGAGGCGCTGCCCTCTGGCCTTGCCCTTTGACCTTTGTGTTCCACAGCATCTAGGAAGGAGCCAGTGTCCTTGGTCTTGGCTCACTTGGACTCCACCTGAGGCTCCGGCCAGGCCGAAGCCAGGGCTGTGCTCCACACCTGGGAGGGTAGATTTGGAAGGCCGGTGACGGGGGCCAAGCAGGGAGCCGGTTAGTAAGGTGGCAGATTAGCAACTAAACAGGGGGCGTCCAGCGAAATCGGAATTTCGGACATGCAATATCGGACTTAAACGAAGAAATTATCTGTGGTATATCTGAAATCAGGTCTAACTGGGCGTCTGATTTTATCTGGTTATCTAGTTAAGGGATAAGTGGCAGGATGGGGCATTGGAAATTAGAGGGTGTCACAGCAGCAGGAAGGCCCCAGCTGGACATCTGAGCAGGGGGCAAGGGTGAGGGGGCTGGGTGGCCTCGACTCTGGGGCAGGGGGTCCCAGAGACTCTCTGCCCTGTGCACAAGTGGGCCTCTTTGGCCGTTGAATTACAAAGGCCTGTGGCCAAGGCCTCCTTGCCTCCTGCCTGAGACAATGAGCAGGTATCTATAGGGTTCGTAGGAAGGCAGCCCTGGCAGGGTGGGGGTCTGCAGGGCAGAGCCTGGAGCCCCTCCTCTGGGGAGCCCTGGACGAGGGGTGCAGCAGAAGGTAGTGGTATCAGGCGGGGGGATGGGACACCTGGGATTGTCCCAGGGCTGAGAGGAGCTAGAGATGGGGCAGGAAGGTGGGCAGGGGGTCACCAGGCTAGGTGCACAGGGTCCCAGGGATGGCAGGCGCCTCCTGGTTGCTGAGTGAAGAATGTGTGGACATAGCACAAATACAATCTCTTTCTCTTTCCTGTTTACTCTCGTCAGTCTTTCTGGAATAGCCTCGCCCCACTCACAGGTGCCCAGGCAACCCTCCCACCTCTGCTTGTGATGCCTCAGACCTGCTGACCTCTAACCTCATGCCCTCTGACCTCATGTACTCTGACGTTCATTCGCCAACCTGACTTTCTCAGCCCTCTGACCTCACCCCTGTGCCGTTCTCCCACTCCCAGGTGAAGCCCCCATCAAGTGTCCCCCCTCAGTCTTTCCCTGGGTGCAGGCCACGGTTTGGCCCCTCCAGTCATCCAGTCAATCTGTGGTCCAGTCACGCCGGCCATGGCATCCTCAGGATGGGGCTGAGAAGACCCAGAACTCAGGGTTCTTGAGACTCCCTCTATCCTGCTGGGGTCAGACCCTAACTCGGTATTGGATAGGGGCGGCCCCACAAAGAAAAACCCAGGCTTTGCTGCAGACCCCTCCAGGGTCCACGCTGGCAGGTGATCCTGAGAAGCAGCCTGCGCATCAGATCCACTGGATGAGCCCCCCTTCAGCCTTGGTTGCTCCACGGGGCCACCGCTGGTTGGGGGGAGACACAGCCTTGTCCCAGATGTTGTCGTAGCTCCTGGGGGGACCACCATCTGGTGGAAAGGGCAGAGGTGCATGTGACTTCAGGAAGCAACACCCAGAGCTCCCCACCCCCGCCCTCTGAAAGAGGCAGGGCCCCTCATTCACCTGGGGGAGGCGGCAGGGGGCTGGATGAAACCTCCCTTGCAGGGGCGACCTGGAGACCCCAAACACAAGCGTGAGAGCGAAGCCTCTGGGAAGGGGGCTTGGGGACCAGACCATGAACTGCTAGATTCCACCCCATGTTTTCTTCAGGGTCCTCCCCTCTCCCTGCTGCCCCCTCTTGCCACTGCCCCTTGTTCTTGGTCTTCACTGCTCCATTGTCCCCTGCCTCCGTCTCTCCTGTTCCCTCAGGGTCCCAGGAGGCCCCACACCATTTCCCCTCCCCACAGAACCCCTTACCCAGGGTGGGGGCTGTTACTCACGAGCTGAGGGGAGTTTGGGGGCCGGGGCCCACGGCCCTTGGCAGAGCCCCGGGACCGCTGAGAGGCTCGGGGCTGCTGGGCCCCCTTCTTGGAAGGCAAGTGGTGGCCGGAGGGTCTGGAGCTGGGGTCGGAGACAGGCACAGACACGGGGACCGAAGGGAATGGGCTTGGGGGCTCGGGTCCAAGTGAGCTCTGCACTGCACTGAGGAACTGCCAGGAAAGCATTGTTGACTGGGGGCCCTGGGCTGGGGCCTCTGTGGAGCTGAGACCCCTGCCCCACAAAGCCCCTTAGTCTCTCATGGCCCAAGCAGACCACAGGTTGTGGGCACATGTCTGTCACCAACAGGGTACTGACCTCATCCAGGCCCCGGACGTCTGTGATCTTGTGGTGGGAGTTGGCAGGTGGAGTGTAGGGGTCGGCATAGAGAGGAGAGTGTGGTGTCTCCAGAGTGTGGTCTGGGGCCTCGGGGCCACCCTCCAGGCTCAGCCTGCTCAGCTGCAGGCAAGAGGCAGAAGAGAAGGGGTTCCTGGGGCTGCCAGACGCCCGTGTCCTCCCTTCTCCATGAAAGAGGCCTCTGTGTAGCTCCAGGATCACAGAGGCCTAAGAGGCAGAGGCCAGGGAGGTAGAGGGCAGAGGGACAGCTAGGCCCGGTGCTGGGGTCAGTATGCTGGGCCCACCTTGGTCAGGTCCAGGTGCAGTGGGGTCGCTGGGCTGGGCCCCTCACTCCGGGCCTTGCTCCTGGGTGACCGAGTGCTGCCGCCTAGTCTCAGCTCTGCCTTCGGCCCACCCATGCCGGTACAGCCAGAGTTGGTCTGGTCCTGTGGGGACCAATGACCTTCCAGAAGGTTCTCCGGGGCCCTCTACCACACATCCCTGAGGATGCACAGAGCTTCCTCCCATCTGAATCCCTTCCCCTGAGCAGCTAGAATTCCTCTTGGGATGGGTACCATGCAGACACAGGCTTCCCAATACTAACTCGCCTCATGGCCCCTTGCCTCTCTCCCCTGCCCGTGCCCCCCTGATACTCACAGGTGCAGGCTGGGTAGGGCAGCCTGCGGTGGACGGCACTGAGGACTCAGGGAGGGAGTGGCTGGTGCGGGTGGAGGGGGGTGCTGGGTACCCCGAGTCCCAGCTGGTCCGTCCATCTGAGGAGAGTGAGCCTCGGCCACTGCCCAGGGCCTGGGCAGCCAGGGGTGGGTAAGCCAGATGGCGATGGTGGGACCCCTCTCCCCACTTACCCATGCTCAGCCCCACCCTTCTGCCCTGTTTTGACCACTGCCCAGGACCTGAGCTGTGGGCAGCCTCTCCCTCTGTCGACCCCTCACCTGGGTGGGCACCCGTAGCCCCGGGAAGCCCTCAGGGCCGGGCTGTAGGGGGGCCCCTTCCCTGCGGCAGACCGTCTGCAGGCAGAGTAGCCAGTGGCTATAGTCCTCGTAGCTGGCGCACACCACACGGATGGTATTGATGAGGCGGCCTGGCACACAGACACCGTGAGGGGCCCCACCAAAGGCTGGGGCACCCTCCATGCTCAAGCGCCCCGTCCCAGGCCTGGCCGCCACACCTTCAATCAGGAAAGAGCGGATCTGTTTCTCCTTCTCCTCCAGGTTGATGTTGATGGCGCCCAGTGGGAGCTCCCCCTGCGGGGGCAGCAAAAGAGGGGAGTCCTGGGTCTGGGGGCAGCCCTGGGACTCTGCCTGGGCCAAGGGCCAGGCAGGGCCAAGGCCGACACCCCCGAGGGAGGCCAGGTGCTCCCTTGTCTGCCCTGCGTGGGACCTTCATCAGCCAAAGGCAGACACAGATGGGTGCTTAAGGGGACTGATCCCCTCGGTCACCTGCTAAGACTGGGGGAAGGGTGTTGTGTTGCGGGGGCCTGAGGGGAAGCCCCATGTGTGTTTCTGAGCAACTGAAGACCATGATCGTCCCAGGTGATGGTGGCTGAAGACCCTCTATGACGATGTGAGGAGCCCATGTAGGGGCCCCTCCTCGCCCACATCAGAGCGCAGACCAGACTGACCAGGGCAGCAGGCTGGGTGGGTGGGGCCCGCAGCACGCTCTGTCCCAACAGGCCCGAAATACAGGTTCCTCCTGAGCTGCTGCCCCCTCCCACCCCCACACACAGGGCGCCTCCCTGGGGCGGGCCCACAGAGGGGAGGGACCCACCTTAAAACAAAGCACGTCAGCTTCCTCAGAGAATATGGCCAGGGAAGTCGGGTACAAAACCAGCAGCCGGTCCCACTGCTCCTGAGAGGGGGTCAAAGGGCAGAGTGTGGTCTCCATGCGGATACCAAGGGCCTGGCCCCACCTGCTGCATCTGCCCCTCCCCCGTCTCCTAACACGCCCACCATCTCCTCACCCCCATCTCCTCACCCCTGTGTCCCCTACCCACCTGTGATGGCAAATGCTGCAGCTTGACCCTTGAGGCACAGATGGCACTGCCCACCGTTTGGCGCCCTGATCCTGTCCGCAGCCGGGTCAGCCTGCGCTGCAGAGTCCAGGGGAGCTCATCCTCAGGGGGGCCCTGGTAAAGGGGTGTCAGGGCAGGCAGAGGAGGGGGATTGGAAAGGGGTGTGGGAGTCGCTGGCACTGACCTGTGGGGGTGCCGAGTTGCAGCGCCGCAGGCCTCCCGCGAGGGCCATCTGCTTTTCCAGATGGTACAGCCAGCGGTCCAGCTCAGCCTGGCTGGAGCAGAGCACCAGGAGAGGGGCGGGAAGTGGGCCTATGGGTGGAGGGGCAGAGCGGGCTGGGCAAGCAGCCCACGGGGAAGGCCTCTCCCCAGGGCCCTATGTGGACCCCAGGGCTGGAGTCTGGAGGAGCTTACAGGGCTGTCTGGGACCTCTGGAAGCTCCCCAAACTGCTGTCCTCCACTCCAGCCTGGCACTTGCCCATGGACCCATTGGAGGAAAAGGCAGGGCCCCTCAACTCACTCATGGTCTTGCCAGTCAGTGTCCTGGGGCCCGGCCAGAGGCCAAGGTAATGGAGCAGCCCTAGCCTCTCGCCCTCCTGGGGCTGGGACCGCTCACGCCCCCACACACCTGTAATCTGGAAGGCATGCTCCCTGGACCCCTCCAGTGGGCAGATACTCAGCTCCATCAGTGGTAACAGCCCCTGCCAGAGCACAGCCAAGAGGGGAGGGCTGTGGGACCGCAGTGGGAACGGCCACTACCTCCCCTGGGGCTTTCTCCCTCTCCCCCTCGTCTCACCCTCGACCCATTTCCCTCACCTGGAACGTGAGTCCTTCAGAGCCGTGGGCCTGGAAGTAGAGGTGGGAGGGGAAGAGCTCCAGATAGCAGTCGCTGATGTCCTGGGGGAGAGCAGGGCCGCCGGTCTGAGGGGCTGGGGGCAGGCCGTGGGCCGGGCCCCAGCACCGCACCCACCTGGTGCGCACCTGGCTGTGCTGGAATCTCAGTTGGACCTTGGCGTAGTGCACGACGCTGCCCAGGTTCCTCACGGGCACCCTCCGCCGGCCCCTCTTGAACACACTAAGGAATGGCTGCTCCGAGGGGTCTCGCTGCCTCTCCAGGCCTGGGAGGTCCTGGGGGGAACAGAGTTCAGGGGAGGGGGCCTGAGCCCCAGCCCGCAAACACACACCCACAGTCACCCAGTGCATAGATTAGGGACACACGTATGTACAGAGGCCTGCACACACTCACAGCCTCCTCACGTGGAAATAGAGGCAGAACACACACACACACACACACACACACACACACACACACACACACTCACAGCCCCACGGAGAGTCAGAGAATTGCGTGGTCTATCGGAGAAGACAATGATGTTTGCACTTAACGGAGATTCAACCCTTATCTTATCCTCACTATTTCCTAAGCTGTGTACCCTTGTTTTAGCTACTCAACCTCCCAAGACTTGTTGGTCACAGGGGTTTTGGATGTCTGAGTGAGACGAGGCTCAAAACCCTCCTGTACCTCCACGGTTGGTTGGTAAGTGTTTATACTTCATTCTAAAAAGGGGGTGGTTGATTTATAGCGTTTGCCAATCTCCATGGTGTGCATCCTCCTGCTGTGGCCCATTTCAAGGAACCAACATAATGTGAGCGAGTGTGGAGCTGGGAAGAGAGGCATTGGGTCAGCTCCTGCGAGCTCGGGCCACTTCAGCACCCATTGTGTGCCCCACTCTCACTAAGTGAAGGCCAAGCTCTTGGCAGTGGCCCAAGGGGTCCTCTGTGATCTGCCCCCTCCCCTCTCATCAGACACACGCCTGTCTCGGGGCCTTTGCACTTGCTGTTGCCTCTGCCTGAACCCTCAGCCTTGCTCTTCACACCTCCTTCAAGGCTTGGCTCAGACGTTGCCTCCTCCATGAGGTCCCATCAAGGTACCCTCTTCACATGCCAACCTCCCCTGACTCCTCTGCACACCTTCCCTACTTTTCTTTTAGCCACATCTTACTTAATATATCTTTTACTTATTTGTCTTGTCATCTGGCTCTGTCACAGGGATGACAACACCATAAGAACAGGGTCTTTGCCTGTTTTGCCCACCACTGTGTCCCCAGTGCCGGGACAGGACTGGGATGTGCTGGGGGTTCAATGCCTGTCTGCTGCAGGGCGGGAGGGTCGCTGCCCACAAACACTTAGCCAATCCTGGCACACAGAGAGTCCTCTATAAACGGGAGCTTGATATCAGATTCTAAGTAGACAGGGATGGGCGTTACCTGGTGCTGGAGGGGCTGAGTTCCGTCCAGGGGCTCAGGGCTGAGTTGGGGAGGGGGCCATGTCCCCTTTGGGAGCTGGCAGGGGCTGCCTCAGGGACTGCTGTGCCAGGCCAAGCTGAGCCGCCCCTTGAATAAGCCCAGGAATGTGCACAGACGCACAGCTTCCCGGCCCCCTGCCTCTAGGTGGGGCCTCCTGCACCCACACCCAGTGCAGGGAATGACGCCGGGATGGGACCCATGAAAAATAGGCCACGAAGCAGGAAGGACCATGCTGCTGGCCCTGTGGGCCAGGCTCAGCCTTAGGGCCCAGGGAGGAGTTGGCTCAGAGCTGTGGCAGGGCCGGCTCTGTGTAGGTGCAGAACCCACCACGGGGCAGGGCCCAAGAACTGGCTTCTCCAGGGCTCCATTCCTGGTCCCCTCTCCAGCCACCATGTCCTGGCAAGAGAGGACCACACCCCTCAAGGGATTCCACCAGGGTCATAGGGTATGTCCTGGGCCTGAACAGAGGGAGCTGAGGTCTGACATGTGGCCACTCAGAGGGACCTCATCCCTGCCCAACCGAGCCCTGGACACAAGTGGCCTGTCCATTCCTCTGAGCATGGTTTCTGAAGCCAGCACTTGCCACGGGGAGTGCTGGGACCTCAGAGAGAAGGGAGGGGCCAGGCCCAGGGCTTCCTAGCCTGATGGGAACAGCTGGAAAGGTGGGCTCCCCATACCAGCTGCTGGGCCTGTAAGGGACAGTGTGAGGACTGAGGACTGCAGAGGGGCGCCCTGGCCCAAGCCCTTGGCACAGTCACACACGTTCCTTGTTCCCTATCCTCTCCCAGATGCTCCTGGAGTAAGAAACTGGGGGGTCATTTCCCTTACATCCAGGGGCCTCCGCACTGAGCAGAGCAGAGCCTCAACCCAATGCCAGCCCTACTGGGGAAAAGGGTGGTGTTTCTCCCCCTCACTAACTCTTAGCCCCACAGGAGCTGGGGGTGGGGGTGTATTTTCAGCTCAGAGGTGCCCCAGGTGTGCTTTGCATGTGGCCTTGGCCAGGGGGATACCGGGTGTTGCTATGGGAGGAGGCAGTGGTGGGTGCTAGGAGACACCCTCTGGGAGAAACTGAGGCTTGGAGTAGGTGACAGGTTGGCTCACGGCTTGCCTCAAGCCCCTTAATCAGAGTCAAGAGGGGGGTGGAGGGTGGTTCACAGCCACAACACCAGCATGACACCCCAGCACACACAGCAACAGCTCAGATACCTGTGCTTGATCCAACCGAATATGCCTGGACATGCTGCCCAGTCCAGGGGCAGGCAGACACCAGGGCTGGCGTCCTGGCCACAGTGGCCCTGGGGCAGCAGAGGCTCCGGAGGCCCCGCCCGCACCTGCCCGCCCGGTGCTCGCTCAGCCACTGACTCAGTCGGGTCTCAGTTTCGCTCTCCGCCAGACTTTCGGCCAGATGAGCTCCGGAGGGTGGGGCTCTGTCTACTTCCTCACCTTATTCTGGATGTGATTCCTAGGCTGACCTGGGAGACCCTGAGACCACGCCGCCCTCGCGCCCCTGCGCGGCCCGCACTCACGCGGGGACACGCCCACCCGCCACTCACCGACCCCGGGATGTAGTGGAAGATCTTGTCGGCCGTGGTGTCCCCGTCAGGACTGGCCTCCGTGCCGAACAGGCCAGCCAGCTTCCTTGAGCCATCCTCTCTGGGGACAAGGGAATGGGGGACTCACAGCCTGGCTCCGAAGGCAGGTTGAGGGCAAACCTGTGACCCAGCATCGCGTCCGCACCCGCGCCGGCGCCCGCCCCCCTCACCTATTTCCCCTCAGCGACAACTTTCTGGAGAAGGAAGCCCGGAGCCTCTTAGGAGCCTGAGGGACGCAGTGGTTGTTCCCCATGGGTCTCAATCGTGGCTCACCCGAGCTGAGCAGGTTTGAAGTCTGGGTCCCTGTCCCAAGCCTCCTGTCCCCACCTCCCGGGGGCGGGCTGTGCAACGCCTTACCCGGTGCCCAAGGGCCGGGGGAGGGTGGAGCCTTTCTGGGAGGGACCTGCCCTACCTGAGCACGAGCCTTTCAGTTCCCTGCCCTGGGTCCCCCAGTGAGCAGGCCAGCTGGGGTGGGGCTGGGGGCTTCCCCACTGGCCGAGCCAAGAGCCCCCACCTCAGCCTCCATTATGTACAGGAGGGGGCCTCAAAGGCCTGGCCTGTGAGTGTGTGACCTGCCTGCATCTGCACGTAGGCTGGGGTGCCTGGGGCTGGAGTTCTGTGAGCCTAGGGACCCCCTTCGAGCCCCTCCCTCTCTCCCTCGTGAAAGCACACATCCTGTTTCCACCCAAATGCCAGTCTCTGAGTCACCAGTGACTGTAAGGGGGCATGTGCTTGCTGTCAGCGCTGAAGCAAGAGTTTGCAACACGGGGATGGGGAAGCCAGGACCCTCCCCCACCCTCCTCTCCTACCGTGGCCCAACCCTCACCCTGGGCCAAGGTGAGGGTCCCCGAGGCTTAACCAGAGTCCAAGAAGGAGACCACAACCATCCCAGGTGCATCTAGGACAGTCACGGTGAGGTAGGGGAAATGCCACCCATGTCCCTCTCATGAGTCTGGTGTGAGACAGGGGCCATGGGGGCCTCTCAGGACCATGCTGGCCGCAACCATGCTCATGGTCAGGCACTCCTCCAGGATATCAGAGCCTTGCCCCAGCTGGATGAGACGGTGCCCCCAGATGCCAACACAGTGCCTGAGCCCAGCTGTACACTCACCCCCCAGACTCTCCCAGTCACCCCAGACAGGACCCCAAAAGGCAGAAATCGGTGCTCAGACTCAAGCCTAGAGCCCAAGAGATGTGTTTATTGTTCAAGTTGGTTCATATTGCTGTGAGGGGTCTGTGGCACGCATGTGTGCCCAGCTCAGTGCAGGACCCAGAAAAGACACCACACTCACAGGTAGGAAGCCCCCTTCATGCCCTCTTCGAGAAGGTGCCTGGCCTGGTGAGGCAAGGGTGGTGTGCAAAGCGAAGGCTGGGGGTCTGCACCTGCTCAGAAGCCCCCCTACCCCAGCGGTCTGCTCTGCATTTGCCCGTTGGTCCCTCCAGGTCGGCTGAGTCTGAGTAGGCCCTGCCCCACGGACAATGAAAGTGTCCACCCCCATCACTCCCTGGTGCCCCCAGGGTGGTGGGAGGACACCAGGAGGGCAGCTTGGTCCAAGCCACACAGGACACTTCCAGAGTAAACGTATAAACTGGTAGCTGCAGCGCTGCTCATCGATCAATAAATACTGAATAAATAAACGGTACACACATAAATGAACAGAGGAATGAACACTAAAATGGGCGGCCTCAACACACAGAGACGTGGACAGATGGTGCAGGACATCCCCGGCGGGGGCCGAGGAACCCACCCCGGACACACTGGTCGAGGGGAGGGAGGCGCTGGGGCCCTCTGTGGGGCTTAAGGCATGTGGGAGGCCGAAAGGTCCGGCCTCTGTGCAGTCTGCGCCGGGGGTCAGAGGCTGGTGGAAGACACGGACAGCGTGGGCGAGGAGGGCGGCGGGAAGTTAAGCAGCTCGAGCACCGCCACGCCCACGCTGCTGCGCCGCGTGAACATGCAGGACGCGGCCACCCACTTGTTGGTCCTCGGGTTGTACTTTTCGATGGAATTGAGGCTGGAACTGCCATCGTTGCCCCCCACAGCATACAGCCAGCCGTCCATGGCCACCAGGTCATGAGTGCTCCTGGGGGCGGGGCAGGCGGTCAAGAGCCCGTGAGGTGGAGCCACGGGGGGGAGGGGCATGGGAGGAACCCTGGGGGTGTGGCCAGAGGGCCAAGGTAGGAGCCCCAGGGGTGGGGCTGCCTGGAACCTCTCGGGAGGAGCACAAGCCAGGAGAGCATGGGTGGGGGTAACACCATGCAGGGGTGAGGCCATGGGACACATCTGTCAGTCTGTGAGGGGGGCAAACCCGCTGTGGTGGTGAGAGGGGGACACTCCCAGTCTGTGGGCTGGGGGACAGCGCACCTTCGGATGGTCATGGGGGCCACACTCTCCCAGGCACCGGCCTTGGGGCTGTATCTTTCCACAGAGTTGAGGCAACTGGTGCCATCATTGCCACCGGCCACGTAGAGAGCCCCCTCCAGCACTGCCACACCGGCTGAGCTGCGCCGGCTGAGCATGGAGGCCACTGGCGTCCACACATTCACCTGTGTTCGAGGGGACCCGCTGGGGGCAGACCCATCACCCGGCCCCCCTCCACCTCCTGTGCAGACCCCTGCTCCAGGGTGGTGTCTGTGGGACAGGGGTGGGACCTAAAGGGCTGACGCTCTGGGGGATGTGGGTGGTGAGAGTGATGACCTCAGTCAGCCCTTGGGAAGGGGGATTCATGGGATTGGGGCATTTCGCACCTGGGGCTCATACTTCTCCACAGTGGCCAGATGTGATGAGCTGTCGTAACCGCCCACGGCGTACAGGTTCCCATCTGCAGGGGTCAACATGCCCATGGTGCGCCTGCTGTGTGGGGTCTCCGGGGTGGGGGCAGGTAGGGGTGGGCACTACACCAAGCAAGCTCTGTCACCCACCAAGCATGGCCACACGAACATATCGCCTCCGGGTGCTCATGGCGGCGACAGACGTCCATGTTCCCGTCAGGGGGTCATAGCGCTCGGCACTGTGGACACCAGGACCACCGCTGACCTCAGGCAGTGGTAGATGAGGACTTGCCTTCCCCTGGGGAATGACTCAAATCCTGTGCTGGGAAGTAACTGAGACGGACCCCAGAGTCCCACTGGAGCAGGAGGCAGGCCTGCGGGATGCACAGGGCCCCTGGCTGCCTGGGTGATCATAGGTAAGTGTCCACTTGGGCCCAGTCCCTGGACTAGTGGGGAAGACCCCAGAGAGGAAAAGGAGGGGCAGGTGGGCTAGAACAAACGAGTGAGGCGGGGTCCCTCTTTGTTCCCCTCAAGGGATGGCCTTTGTAGTCCTGATGCGGCCATAGCTGCTGCCAAGCCCAGGGCAGAAGGCTACTACCTGTTGAGGCAGGAGGCCCCGTCGTAGCCCCCGGCTGCATACAGGAGCCCGTGCAGGGCAGCCACACCCAGACAGCTGCGCCTCGTCCCCATGGAAACCTCGGGCTGCCAGGCATTGGTCACGGGGTCGTAGGACTCTACGGTGGCCAGGTCTGAAGTCCCATCGTAACTAGGGGAGGGGTCCAATGCCAGTCATGTCTGGCCCGGTGGGCATACGCCACGCCCCACCAGAGAGCAGCCTCCACGCTTACCCGCCCACGGCATACAGCCGGTTCCCCACCGCTGCCACGCCCACCCGGGCTCTGCGTGTGGACATGGAGGCCACCACGTGCCAGCGGTCGGTTCGCGTGTCATAGGCTTCACAGTCCCCGTGGATGGCGAACAGACTCCCACCACCTAGGGAAGAGGAGGTGATGGGGCAGGATGAGGGCCCAGAAAGGCCATGGGCTGGGGGCTCTGGCATAGCTCAAGGTTGAGCATCTGGGGCTCTGAGGGTAGGGATGGGGATTTGTGAGTAGGTCACACCACACAGGGTCTTCCACAGTGGGATGGAGGAGCAGGCGTAGGGAGGATGCAGAATGTGACCAGCGTGGGGTGAGGGGTGGGGCTGGCGCTGGGCTTGTGGGCAGAAGACTCAGGGCAGAGGAGTGGGGGGCCAGGCAGGTGGGCATACCAACGGCAAAGAGCACAGGGCCTGCGCCCTCACAGTGCCGGGGCCGCGTCCGGCTACTGCCTAGGACGCCTCTCTGCTCTGGCAGCAGGTGGAACTTGAGCGCCTCGATGAGCAGATCCTTGCAGTCAGGGTGGTGCCTCACCAGGCTCTCGGCATCCACGTGGCCCAGCAGGAAGTCCCGGCTCAGCAGGGGCAGACGGACACACTTCATCAGCTGGGGTGCAGTGGCGTCAGTTAGGTAGCAGGTAGGACCTGTGGGCACACCTGGCCCCAGCCCTGAGCCCCCCTCAGACAACTGTCCACCTGTATGCTGGGCCCTTCGGGGGACATGTGCTTGCATCACTCCCGTGCTGTGCCTGGGCACAGAGGAGCCCAGGCACATCCAGGACCTCAGCCGCTGCCTCCTCTCCTGGATACAGTGCCCCGCCCCCCTCTAGGGGCGGGCCTCACCCGTGGGACGTGCTGCCTCCGAGCATCCACATCGTGCTTCACCCAGCTCAGGACGGCACGGTAGACATCCTCCTCCGAAGGCACGTTCAGGCTGTCGCTAGAGACCAGTTCCAGCACCTGGGGGTGGGGACCCTCAGATCTGAGATCTGGAGCAGGTCTTGGGGACCCATAGAGCCCTGAAGGTGTCTGGGAGGGGGCGTCCAACGGGGGGGGGGGCCCAGTGTTCCTTTGAGGAGGGGCCAAGCAGGGTCAGGAGCCACAGATCCAGGTTCCTGGGGACCTGAGCCCAGAGCAGCCCTGGGGACTCGGAGCCATGGACTAGGGTTGCAGGCAGGCATGTGCTCAGCAGTTGACAGTGAAGGCTTGGGTGGGGTCAAAAGATGGGCGTGTGTGGGGGCAGGGATGGGTGGTGGGGCTGGAACGTGGGTCAGAGGCTGGGAACACAGGAGGGGGGCCCAGGGGCCATGTCAGGGCCCAGGCTGTGCCCAGCTGGCCCGTTACCTGCTTCAGCGGCAGCAGCATGAACTCCTCGGTCTTGGCCACGTCCACGAAGTGCTGCAGCACGTACCTGTGTGCCGCCTTCAGCAGGTCACTGCACGAGTGTGAGTCGGCAAAGCCCCGGATGCCCAGGCAGTTGGAGGGGTCCAGCTGGCTCAGCAGGAACTTGCAGCAGGCGTCGCGGACGCCGTTCAGCTGCAGAAGGCTGGCGGCTGGAAGCAGAGTCTGTGGGGCGAGGTGGGAGAGAGGGCCGAAGGCAAGGACAGAAACAGGATGTGAGGAACTGAGGGCATGGGGGCCGGAGGCACAGGGGACGCTGGGGTGAGGGGAGCGCTGAGACAGGAGGCGGTGGGTGCTGGACGTGAGGGGTGAGGGGCTCACCTGAACATTACCTTCACCCACCACGATCTCGGCCGTGTAGGCAAACTGCACTAGCTGGTCCAAGGCCTGAGGGTCGATGTCATGCAACGTTACATGTGTCTGGCGGCTCTCACTCATCTCATCTGTGGGGACAGCGGGTCAAGCCAGTCCCGCCCTGGGAGGTCTGCAGAGCCCCCCGCCCCCCACCCCCAGTGCCCAGGCTAGATGGGGCAGTACTTGCTTGTGAACATGGCGTGGAAGTAAGGGCTGCAGGAGGCCAACACCACCTTGTGCGCTCGGATCTCCTTGGCGGCCACGTGCAGGACGATGTCACACAGGAGGCCTCGCTGCCGCATGCGGCTCATGGCCACAAAGGCATCGTGGTAGTGCCGCTTGGAATTGTGGGACACAGTGTGGCCCTCGCGGCTCAGCAGCTGCACCGCACCCTCCATGGGGGCCGTGGACCTGGCCTGCCGGGTCCGCGCCCGCTCCACCTCGGGGCTGCAGAGGCAGTGTCAGGTCAGATGCATCTGCAGGGAGCTGCTCACCTGCCCCTGAGACTCTGGGCGGGGCCTAACGCACCCAGGAGGCCACCCCTTCCCCAGCAGACCACACCTGGAGCCCATCAAGGACCGCCCCTGCCGCCGAGGCTCCGCCCCCTCGGCTCCCTCACCTCCAGGAGCCCATCCCGGAGTCCAGCAAGACTCCGCTTGCACCTTCTGCCAGCAAGAGATTGACTGTTGAGCCTGTGCGGCTTCCTCCGCAGCCCACCCCCAGCACCATACCCCAAGCGGCCCCAGCGCCCCCTCTGCCTGCGACTCTCAAAAGAACTAGGCTCCCTCTGTCCATCGCGGGCCACCCTTTCCGTGCCTGCCCCCAGCGGAGTCCGGTGTCCTCAGCACCAGCTGGTACACAGGAAGAGCACGAAGTGAGACTAGTCAGTGCTGTCAGGCGGCTCTGAAGCGGACCCCTGGGCCCACCAGCAGGCGTGACCTCACTTGACCCTCCCGAGCGGCCCCGCCCCCACACCCCCACCCCATTCTGCAGACCAGCCACTCGAGTCTCTGAGCCACACAGCCAGGATTCAAGGGCGGCGGGAGGGGACAGCCTCTGAAGCCACCTCCGGACACCCTGCTCCGCGTTCCCTGTGTGCGCGGATAGACGGAGGGAGGCGGGTTGGACTCACCAAGGGCGGCCCGAGCCTGCCGGGCGCTGAGGCCGACCCTCCCGGCGGCCTGCCAGCGCGCGCCCCTCCCTCCATCCTTCCCGGACCCATTCAGCCCCCGGCCCACTCACGCCGGAGGCTGCGGCGGCGGGAGCGGCGGCGGCGCCTCGGGCCCGGGCCCCGGGCTACCGTGCTCCGGGCTTTGCGTCCTGCCGGCCGGGCGCTCGCTGCGGGGCTGCATGGGCTCGGCCGCGGGACTCGCCGCCGATCCGCGGAGGACGCACAGACTAACGGAAACACGGACCGCTGGAGGGCTGCTCGGCGGAGGCAGCGGCGGCCAGCTCAGCGTCTCTGGCTCCCGCCGCTTGCCCGCAGCCGCTGTTTCTCGGCGCCGCCCGCCCCGCCTCCCGCGCTCCCCTGCGGCTTGGGGCTCGCAACGTAGGACACGAATCCTCTCTAGGTCCCGGCGCCCCGCCTGCCTCTTCCTCCAGGAAGCCCCCGGTCCCCTCTGCCGCTCACCTTCAAGAAGTTTCCCGGACCTACCGCCCCCGCTAACTCATTCAAGAAGCCCTCCACCCCACCCTCGTACAAGTACCAGGCCTTGAGCTGGGCTTTGGTTGACGGGGCGGGGGTGGCTGGGTCCTGACTGGAGCCTCGCCGGCGCCCCGCGGGCTGTGGGGTCCAGTGTAGTGGGGTCTGGCCGTTCAGGCCCGAGGACCCTGGCCCTTAGGCGGCTGGGCGCAGGAAGAGGGCATAGGCTGGCCCCTCCACCTCCCTCCTTCCCCCAGGCATCCTTCCAGCCTCTGGACCTTTGCACCACCTGGCTGATCCCAAAGTGGCCTGTCTCTGCCCAGCCCCGTGTTGTGGACCGAGGCAGATGTGTTTGTAGGTGAATTCCTAGAAGAATGAGAAGTGGCAGGGCTGCAGTATGAGGCATAGTACTTTCAGGTAGATGTGGCCAAACTGGCTTCAGTAACAGTGCCTCCCCCCACTTCGGGAGCACAGGTGCTGTGGGACTGTCGAGTGAAATGCAAACACTCTCATGGGTCTGATCCTCCTTTGATCAGCGCGATGCCGACATGGCCATCAGGGCATCATTTATCTTTAGGCGAACTGCGCATCTAGAGCATCGTGGTTTCTATTTTGGCTTGTTTTTCCTACTAGTGTTGGCTTTTATTATTGATTTGCAAGAGCCCTCTGTATAGGAGTCCTCTCTGTCGATGGCGTTTTGTCCGTTTTCGATGCGTTGACAGCCTCACAGGCATGTGTTTACGGAGCCCTGGGTAGGCTGTGGTCAGACTGGGCGAGGGGGCCCCAGGCCCGGTCTTCCCCGGGGGCAGTAGTGTTATCTCTGCGTCTCACGCAAGAGGACCCAGACGACGAGCGGCACGTGCTGCCTGGTGCTCAGGTTCTGCAACCCGGCACTCAGCGGATGCGTGCGGGAGCCGTGACTAAACCAGGCCTGCGTCAGGAACCCGCATCCCGCGAGCCACTCGGAAGCCCTAGCGCTGCCCGCAGCACAGAGGATGTGAACGTGCCCTCCCGCTCGCATGCCGCCGGAGCCGCGGTTGGAGAACCCTAGAGCCAGCCGGCGGGCGCGGCGGGGCGGGGCGGGGCGGGCCGGAGGAGGAGCGCCTAGCGCGCGGCATTCTGGGGCCGGAAGTGGGGCGCACGCTGCAGGCTGGCCGTCATGGCGGTGGCGCGGAACCGCAAGCGGTGAGTTGAGGATCTGGCGTCCGACTCGGCTTCCCAGCGGGTGCTTACGTCTGAAGAGGCTCCTCGCGCGCCTCTTCGTGTACCTGGGGCAGCGGGGCTGGGGCGCACCGGGCGGGCGGGAGTCGTGACTCGGGCGTCGTGACCCGCAGGCACCTGGCCGAGTTGACGGTGGACGAGTTTCTGGCCTCGGGCTTTGACTCTGAGTCCGAATCCGAGCCCGAAGGAGCCCCCGAAGCCGAGACGCAAGCGGCGCGCAGAGCCGCGCGGAGCCCGAACGGGCCAGGCGGGAGCCCCTCGGCCAGGTGAGCGGAGCGCCTCCCACGGGCCGGGTGTAAGCAAAACCCCGCGGGTCTCGCGACTCAGGCCTAGGGACCTTCGGCCGCCCCTCGCATCCCCACTCTTAGGCTGAGCCGTTCTCCCGTCTGATGTGTGCCAGGCCTCGTTGTGGGAGGTGAGCATAGGTTGATGAGTAATAAAAAGGCTACTTGAAGGTCCAAGAGATCTCATTCTCTCGTGGGTAAACCACGCGTGTAGTGCGGCGGAAGAGAGAAGTGCTGTGGACAGAAAGGAAACAAGGGCCGGAGGAATGGAGAGGGCAGCCAGGGCACGTGTGGCTGTGTTAAGTGGAGTGGAGGCCATTTGAGGAGGTGACAGTTGAGCAGAGACCTGAGGGGTAGGCCGTGCAGACAGCAGCGGAAGAGTGTTCTGGTGTTTCAGGTAGTAGGGACAGCAAGGGCCCTGACGTGGGAGCCGGCCTTTCCCAGAGGGAGCGTGGCTGTGGCAGGAGGCGTGAGGGGGAGGGACGCAGATGGGGCTGTTGATGAGATATTCCAGAAAAGTCCTGGGAAGTCATCTCGGGGCTTTAGTCAGTGAAGTAACGTCACACGACAGATAACACAAAGGGTCGCTCAGGTTCCCTAACGTATAGGGTGTAAGCAGCAGGGGTGGTGCTAGGGAGAGACATTAGGGTAAAGCAGAGAATGGAGAGGCAGCCGGGGGTATTGCTGGTGAGAGCTCATGGCAGACTGCACGCTGGGCCTGAGATGATAGGTTTACCTGGAAAGGTAGCGTTACCAACCACTGAGAAAGAGCAGGGTGCGGGCAGCGCAAGTTTGGGGGAACCACAAGTTCAGTGTTATGTGTGTTGGGTTTGAAGTGCACACGTTGAAACATGTGTAGAGAGGCTGTGCGATATGTGAGTCTGGAGTTGGGGGCATAGAAGGATCTGCTGAAAACATACCTCCTGGAAACCCCCTGCTTTGGTCATCAGTCGTTGTAGAGGAAGCAGACCAAGCCCCATGTCTTCTCCGAGGAGGCCAGTGAGCTGGCCACGTGGAGGACAGGAAGCCTCACGCTCCCGGCCCCCACTGGCTCTGCCTGTCCATCAGACCTGATGACCCCTACCTTCCCAGCCGGTGTAAAGGCCGTGCCTCTGAGCACAAGGACCAGCTTTCTCGGCTGAAGGACAGAGACCCCGAGTTCTATAAGTTCCTGCAGGAGAACGACCAGAGCCTGCTGAACTTCAGCGATTCCGACAGCTCTGAGGACGAAGGGGAGCAGCTGCACTCCCTGCCAGAAACTCTGGAGGTGAGGGCTGGGATGGAGCTGGGTCGGGGCTGGGGGCTCGTGGTCCCTACATCCTGCTCTAGCCTGGCCCTCTGTGTTTGGTGCAGGACGCAAGTGAGGAAGGAGATGAGGATGAGGACGGGGTCTCCAGAGGACTGAAGGGGAAGAAGAGGGATTCCATCCCTGTGACCCTTGCCATGGTTGAGAGATGGAAGCAGGTGGCCAAGGTGGGAAATGACATGGGCCGGGCAGCTGCCGTACTCCCCCCTTAGGAGTCTGCCCTGGCCTCATTTCAGGCACCTGGGAAGGCCCGTCTCTGGGGCTGCAGGTGGGA